TGTAGCCCAGGCTGGTCTGGAACTTGCAACAATCCTCCTGCCTCAGCCTCCCGAGTGCTGGAATTACAGGCGTGCGTCACCATGCCTGGCTATTTTTTTTTTTTTTTTTTTACTATTTTCTTTAAAATAAAAATAAAAGAGCCTATTATATTTAATGCCACTTAATTTATATTTTAAGATCATGTGGTTCTACTGTAATTCAAGGGTCTTTTTTCATGTGCTACTGTTTCCTTTGAGTGCTACGGTGGTATTCCTTGAAGTCCTAAGCCAACTCTGCAGAAGGAACTTGTTGTCAGTGTAAATTTAAATCAGAGAGTGGCATAGTGAAAGGTTGTGCACCTCAGTGAATTTTCCCCCACCACTGTCGAACAGCTGCCACTGTTGCTTAAATATAACTTTTTGAAACAGCTGCTGGTTTTTCCTGAAACCCTGCAAGTTCAGACCTGCTAAGAAACCCTACAGGCTTACTGCAAGGACAGTCCCCTACAGATACTGGAAACCAGGGAGAGTTTAAAAATCGAATAGCGTTTCCTTAGTGATCATGACACTGAAATTCAAATCGCAGAGCGTATCTGGGGGAGGACTGAGTGACCTCTGAAGGCCTCTGTAACTCTGCAGCCTTTGCTGCCCTCGTCTTCCAGCTCACAGTGACAGTGACGGGTGAAGACAGCCAGCCCTTATTGATTAAAACTTTTTCCTTTAATTCTATTCTTCAGGGAGGAAGTAAATGACAAATTACGGGATATGCCAGATGGTACCTTTTTGGTCCGTGATGCCTCAACAAAAATGCAGGGAGATTATACGCTGACTTTGAGGTGAGTACTTTGTGGCCTTTTGACTGGTGCCTTCCTCATATTCTTTTAGTTCTGAGTATATAGAGAGTTGTGTAGTTTATTGAAATCTTTATATGCATATTTGAAAATACTTTTTATTTAGATAAGTAATTTTTAGTTGTTTGGTTTTATTTTGTTTGTTTGTTTGTTTGTTTGTTTTTTCTGGTACTGGGAATCGAACTCAGGACCTTGCGCTTGCCAGGCAGGTGCTGTGCTGCTGAGCTAAATCCCCACCCCCTTGTTTGTTTTTTTCATGGCCTGAATGTGACCCTAAATGGCCACTGTTTTTATTTTTGTGTAGCCATGAAGTGGGAGGCTGAAGTCCCTGGCTTGAGGGAGTGGGGAGACAGTAACCAGCCTTGCTCATGAGGTCGGAGCGTCAGAAGTTATTAAGGATTGTATCTCTCCACTAACCCTGTTTTCCTTAATGTAGACTGTAGAAAGTTGAACTCAACATAATTTTGGCTGATAAACATATGGAGAAGATAAGCATGCATGTTAAAGTCTCTTAGTGGTGGGTGTATGACCTTGTATATTGACGAAGATGAGATCTTAAAAGTGGATTAAGAAAAATGGCATTAGTTATAGTCTGCATTGATTTTAATGATTAAAGTGGCCCAGTTACAATAAAGTTTTATAATTTAAAAAATAAATATCTATTTATTTACCTTCTTGTGGTGCTGAAGGTTAAAGCTAGAGCCTTCTGCAAGTGTTTTACCCTTTCTTTTTTTCTCTCATTTTTTTGAGATGGGATCTTAATGTCACTCAGGTTGGCCTTGAACTCAAGTGATTCTCCTGACTTGGCCTCCTGAGTAGCTGGGATTATGGGCACATACAGCCAGTTTGTTTCTTTTTTTTAGATAGGGTCTCCCTCTGTAGTTCATGCTGGCCTTGAATTCACTGTGTAGCCCAGATTGGTCTCAAAGTTGTGGCACTCCTACTGCCTCAGCCTCCCAAGTATTGGGACTAGGGGCTGGGGATTTAGCTCAGTGGCACAGCGCCTGCCTGGCAAGCACAAGGTCATGGGTTTGATTCTCGGTACTGGAAGAAAAAACAAAAAACACAAAAAACGAAACAAACATACCAAGTATTGGGACTATAGGAATATGCTACCATGTGTGGCTACAATGGCTTTGGGAAATCTTTTTTTTTTTTTTTTTTTTTTGTGGTACTAGAAATTAAATCCAGGGCCTTCACACTGAGCTATATCCCATCTTTTTAAAACTTTGCTTGTAAAATTTTGTCTTTCCCATACTCTTAAATGAAATTGGACACATGTGTAAATACTGCAGTGTTTTTCTGGTGTGAGAAACTGAAAGTGTGAATAAGGACCAAAATGTATAATGGGTATTTGTGAAATAGGAAGAAAACGTTCAAATGGGGAGGGAACAAGGGGAAGGGGAGAGGGAGGGGAAAGGAAGGGAAAAGTAAAAAAAAATGAGAAAAGAAGGAAAAATAGAAACAAAGCTTTTGTAAATGGTGAAGGTAGGAGGGACTGAAGGGAGGGGAGGGGAATGGGACAAAAGTTATATTACGTACAGGTACAAATTCTCTGTGATGAATATGATCATTATGTGTACCCATAATGTACCAGTAGAATCTGATTGGAAAGAAAAAAAGATTCAGTCTCTCTAAGTTGCTGCAATACCCAAACTGGGCTTGAATTTGTAATCCTCCTACCTTAACCTCCCAGAGTGCTGTGATTATAGGTGTGTGCCACCATGCATGACTTGAAATGGTTTTAATCCTATATTAAGATGATACTTTACAGCTAGAGTTCTATTACACCTAATTAAAAGAAGCAATTATTCTCTAATAATATAATGATTGTATAATAGCATTTCGTATAGCTGAGCTGTGGTGGCATATGCCTGTAATCTCAGAACTCAGGAGGCTAAGGCAGGATGATCACTGAGTTTGAAGCCAGCCTGGGCTACATATTGACTTCAAGGCCAACCTGAACTACATAGTAAGACCCTGTCTCAAAAAAAAAAAAATTTATGTGAGAATAGGGTTTATATCTCAGTCCTTTAGATTATTGAGTACCCACAATGCTTCAGGTATTGTTTTAAGCCAAGAAAGTGACAGGTCACTAGGGGTATAGCTGAGAGGTACAGCACCTGCCTAACATGCATGAGACCCTGGGTTTGATCCCGAGCCTGGCCAAAAAAAAGAGATAAACCCAAGAAAATGACAGATAGGGTGGACATGGCCTCTCTGTTTTGGTGTTCATGTTATTGGGTGGGGAGCGGGAGGTCCCATCAACACATAGGAAGAAGAGACACTACTTGTGGCAGATTAAGTGCTGTCCAGGGAGCCCCTGTGACAGAGAGCAGCGAACAGGGAGTCTAAGGAGGGCCTCTTTTGAGAAGATGACCTCTGAGACCTGAAGGATTGAAAGTGCCAGCCAGAAGAGAGTTTCAAAAAGTAGGAAGAGAAAATGCCAAGACATTGATTTTGGAAAGATTTGATGGATCTGATGAATACGAAGACTGTTTTTGCGGCTGGTTTATCGTGTAAATTAGGGGCAGTAAGTGAAGAAGTTCAAGGTAGGAGGGAATAAGACTGTATAAAGCTTTGAGCACCTTTGGAAGGAATTTGAATTTTATTTCTAAGTGCAAAAAATTAATAAAGGATTTCAAATAGCAGGATGACATGTTCAGATGATGGAATACACAAAGTCATAGATGAGTGGCTCTCAGAGAGAATTTGAGGAGTTAAAGGCGGTGTGGAGCTCAGACCAGAAGGGACTGAGCAGTAGAACAGGTGTGAGGCTGGGGACTGAAGGTGGCTGTGGTTTGAGGCATTACGCTTGGAACGTGCCATTTCTACAAACAGAAAAGCGAGGAGCAGTGTTTTATTGGGAAGAAGGAATAAATATTTATTTTTAGCTGCTCCAGAGCTGCTAGGTAAAAATGTATCTAGGGATCTAGCCAGAAATTGGGTTTAGTGCTTAGAAGATACTGTGGGACTAGCAAAAGAGCCAGACACCATATGTGTAGAGTAAATGAGATTTTCGCGCTGGAGCTTGAACCCATGGTCTTGTGCATGCCGGGGAGAGGCTCTGCGCTGAGCTGCACCCCCAGCCCGAGTCAGTAGGATTTTAAGGAGAGTGTAGAGTGAGGAAAGAGAGTAGAGGCTAAAGGCAAAAATTTTGAGAGAGTAACTTGTTTATAGTCAGAAAGGGGACAGGAAGAATAGTCTGAGAGGTTGAAAGTGAGTGTTCTCAAGGCACGGGAGGAAGACTCGGGAAGGGAGGGTGGGCGGAGGAGGGCTAGCGGAAGCCCTTGGTCCCCTTCCTCAGAGGAATGAGAGAGAAGCCAGACTTGAGGGAGGGAGAGGTGCTGAAGGTTTTCAGTTCTCAGTAACCATTATTTTTAATGCAATAAATCATAACCATTCTAGAAAATCTAGATATCTAATAAATCTTTTAAGAATCTGCTGTCGGGCATTGGGCTGGATGCTAGAATATAAGCAGGAAGGTTCTGATTCTTCTGTTCAAGAAGGTGACAGAGAGGGAGACAGAGAGTTAAAATTCACCACTGCTTCATTCCTTCGCGTCTTTCCTCCTCTCCGCCTCTGCTTAGAGTCCGCGGTCCGTGAGGAAATTACTTTTTGGCAAAGCTGGGTGGTGGCTCCCCCCTGCAGTCCTAGTTACTCAAGGGTTTGAGGTAGGAGGGTTACTTGTGTTCCGGAGTTAGAGACCAGCTTGGGAACCTAGTGAGACCCTCTCATAAAAAATAAAATCAACCAAAAAGTAAGTTTTGTGAATATATTCTTAAAAACTTGCTCATCTGGTAATCTGAGCAGCTATCCTGTTTTGTAATTCTGTATCTTTTTTTTTTTTAAGTTTAAAAAAAGTGCTCCTTTCTCCCTTATTGTAATCACCGAACTAAATTCAAACCTCCCCCCTTTTTTTGAGGCTGGGTCTTGCTAAATTGCCCTGGCTGGCTTCAAACTGACAGTCCTGCCTCAGCCTCCGAGGTAGGTGGGACTACAGGCACAACGTACGCCATGATGTGTGGCCTGCCAACAGGATCCCCCCCACTTCCTTCTTCTCTTCCCCCTCGTTCTCCCTCTTCCTCCTCCTCCTCCCTCTTCCTCCTCTTTCTCTTCCTCCTCCTCCTCCCTCTTCCTCCTCTTTCTCTTCCTCCTCCTCCTTCTCTTCATCTTCTTCCTTCTTCATTTCCTCACTTCTCTCAGCTCCGCAGCGTCTGTGGCAGGAGGATTGCAAGTTCAAGCCCAGCATGGGTGACTTAGTGAGACCCTGTTTTAGAGTAAAAGTAAAAGGAGGGCTGGAGATGTAGCTCAGCATCTCTGGGTTCATTCCTCAGTACCACAGTCAATCAATCAATCAGCCAGTCAATCAATTCCTATAATCATATCTCTTTCCATCTACTTCCCTATTTCTATTACTTACACAAATATTCCTCAAGATAGTTGTCTATGGAGGTTGAGTCTTCCTTTTCTTGAGTCCATTTCAGTCAGGCTTTCCTTTTTAACATTTCACTGAAAACCATTTAGTTACAGTTACTTAGTGATCTCTGCTTCACCGAATCCAGTGACCGCGCACCTGTTGGTTGTTTACCCTTGGCTGAAGTGCTTTTTAAAGGATGGGTTTTTGTAGCATAGCTTGGTTTTCTTCTTACTTAATTGCTCTCTCTTAGTTTCCTTTGCTTTCTCATATCTGCAACCATTAAACATTGATATATGGGCTGGGGATATAGCTCAGTGGCACAGGCGCCTGCCTGGCAAATGCAAGGTCCTGAGTTTGATTCCCAGTACCAAAAAAAAAAAAAAAAGAATGAAACATTGGTACACCCGGGGGCTTAGATTGTTAATTCTTCATCTGTCTAGCTGTGACCACTTTTAAGTAGCATCTAGAGGATGTCAGCTTCTGCATTTATTTGTTTATTTACTTACTGGATTTTTTTGAGACAGGATCTCGCTTTGTCATTCAGGCTGGCCTTACACTGTGTAGCCCAGACTGGCCTTGAACTTAATAGCAATCCTCCTGCCTCAGCCTCCAGAGTGCTGGGATGATAGGTGTGCACCACCATGCCTGGCTAAATGTATTCTGTTTATGTAACTTCTTTATGTCAATAAAGGACAAGTCCATTATTATAATTGCTTAAGATCTAAAACCATCTTTATCTTGTTTCTTTATCACCTTTCCATATCCAGGCATCAGCAAATCCTGTTAATTCTCTCTTCAAAATACATCCCACCATTTCTTAATGAAATGTGGGATACCATCTTGCACCCTTCTCCAGGACCCCATCTTCTTTTGCCTCAAGTATTATGATAGTCTCCCAACTTCTACCCTGCCCACTTTGATAGCTGGAGTGGACCTTTTTAACCACAGGATGAATTGCATCATCTTGCCAAAACTATCATTATCTTCCTATCTCATTCAGTAAAAGTTAAAGCCTTAAAATAGCCTGCAGGTTGTTTTATATAACTTGTTTATTTTTATGTTATGTTTTAAGGAATTTTAAAATCTTTCATAAACTGAAATATGGCTACACATTCCTCAAGTTACCTGTGAGCATGGACCTTATCTGCCCTGAAATTGTATCTACAGTGACTTGTAAAATTCCTAATACATAGTAGGTGTTCAGCACACTTTTTGAATGAATGAATGAATGAAAGAATGAATGCCTTTGAACTTTCAGAGAGATCAGCTTGCGTTTGTGCGACCGTGTGTGAGTACACACCTGAAATAACCACATGTGATTAGGTTATCCTTCTAATGTACATTTTGTAGAGATAGTTTGTCATTCGTCTAAATGCTGGCCTTCAAAGCCTTGTTTAATTTCAACCAGTCCATGGGTTCCAACCTATTGTGTTTGCCGTCTCACAAATCCCAGTGCCTCATTTATCACGTGCGGTGCATAGTGTGGCGTGAAGAGCCACGGAGGCACGTGTCACACTAAGTCTGCCTGCTGCTGTAAGAAGAGTTGAATGGAAATGGTACAGTATTTTACTGTGATATCATGAATCAACCCGTTGTGGTTTTAGATTAAGCCTTATGGAACGTGTAAAACATTGCTATTTGGTCATAAATTATCTTTGATATGACTCAGTAAATAAAGTGGCTTGGACTGTTCAAGCATTGAATTATACCCATCTAATATACATAGCTCTTCAAAAGCTTTGCTTTGTAAAATAATTGAATGACTTGAATCATTTATTTATTGTGATAGCCTAAGTAAATAGGCATTTCCAAGAATTTAAGCAGGTATAAAAGACAAAATAATATAAGGTACTAGACCAGCTACTCAGCTGTAACTCATTCAAGGACCTTACTTATATTTTGTGTACAAACAAAAAGACTCAAGTGCTGGTGGCACCGTGGCAAATGTTTATGTTCCCTTAAATAGTTAGGGCTTCTGCTTCCTCCTCAGAGACGTAGAGGCAGGCTGGGCAAGATGGCACACAGCTATAATCCCAGCACTCGAGAGGCTGAGGCAGGAGGATTGCTTTGAGTTCAGGGCAAGCCTCGGCTACCTAGTGAGCTCAAGTCCACCCTGAAATATACAGTGAGACTCCATCTCAGAAAAAAAGAAGACATAAAGCCACCTATTTTTGTGTTCTGAATAGTTTATTTGTCTTCTGTGAAATAATATTATATATACTTGCACACACATAATTATTTTTTACTTTTATTTCATTTTTATTTTCATTTTTTTGAGATAGAGTGGTAGGTGCTGTGTAGTTCAAACTGGCCTCAAACTCAGTTTGTAGCCCAGGCTGGCCTTGAACTCACAGCAATCCTGCCTCGGCCTCCTGAGTGCTGGGATGACAGGTATGCACCACCACACCTGGCTTGCACACACATAATTACATGTGACTTTCACCGCCTTGAGTCTTAGTAGCATAGTAAAATGTGTTTCTTATGTGAACCAATGAAAGTAGTATTTGAGGGTTTTTGTTTTTTAAAAATTTTTTTCCAGTACCGGGAATCGAACTCACGACTTTGCGCTTGCCAGGCAGGCGCTGTGCCACTGAGCTAAATCCCCCGCCCCAAAAGTAGTATTTGAATAGAATTTTTTTGGGAAAAAAAACTACAGCTTTTGTCTTGTTGTTCACAGGAAGGGAGGCAATAATAAGTTAATAAAGATCTATCATCGCGGTGGTAAATATGGCTTTTCTGACCCTCTGACCTTTAATTCTGTGGTGGAGCTCATTAACCACTATCATCATGAATCTCTTGCTCAGTACAACCCCAAACTTGATGTGAAGCTGATGTACCCAGTGTCCAGGTACCAGCAGGTAGGATTACTGACATTCTTGATAGTTATTGAGCAAGTCATTATTTAACATCATGGAACTCTATTTATCAGAACTCTAGTCAGTTTAAATATTCTACTGAAGATTATACATATTTGTGGAACTTACAGCTATCATTCCATAATAGCCTGTTGCATATATTTATTAACTTTATATAAAATGTTTATGTTTTACATTTTTACCTTCTTAGTTTTTGATGTATTAATTATTTTTGTGGGATTTAAAGGCTGATCTTAGTGTTAGCAAAAGGACTTAATGCTTTTGCATGCTGTGTATTAACAGAGTATCTTGAATTTCTAAGCTGAAATGCAATTTAAAAATAAATAAGGTGGGCTGGGCCTGTAATCCCAGCACTCTGGGAGGCTGAGACAGGAGGATACAAAGTTCAGGCCCAGACTGGGCAATTTAGCAACTTTCTGAGACTCCGTCTCAAAATAAACAATAAAAAAAGCACTAGAGATGTAGCTTAGTGGTGGTAGTGTGCTTGCCTGGCATGGGGAAGGTTCCATCTTTTACACTGCAAAAATCAGTCAATTGATCAATCAGTCAATGAGTAAATCATAAGGAAAAAAGGCGTGGAAAAGCTCATGCGTCAGAATTGCTAACACTCATTTCTTTTGTTCACCTGTGTAGGATCAGTTGGTAAAAGAAGATAACATCGATGCAGTCGGTAAAAAACTGCAAGAGTACCACTCCCAGTACCAGGAAAAGAGCAAAGAGTACGATAGGCTATATGAAGAGTACACGAGGACATCCCAGGTGAGTATATCTTGTTGTTTGGGCTAACGGTTATGCAGTATTGTGGCTATAGCAGAGCTTCTAAAATCATCAGCTGTCTCAATATCTTAAAAGCCTTTCTTGAGGCTTTGATGATATAACCCCCATTCATAAATTGCTTTTTATTGGCTAAGGATATAATTTTGTTCCAGTTAGTATTAATTGATTATGTGTAACAACAACAAAAAAATAATGAAGGCTTCATATAGGAAATGTTCTCTTACATGTATACAGCCAGTCCAGGGTGTTGTGGCGGTTCCACAGGCATTGGGACTTGGATTCACAAGCTTACTCTGTCTTACGCTTTACTATCTGTGGCATGTGGCTGGGCCTTACATGAGCCAGCACAACCATATTCGAGTAAGCAGGGAGGAGGAAGGAGAAAGTTTTCTTTTAAAAATTAAAATTTTTTTTTTTTTTTCTGAAATTAGAGATTGAACTTAGGGTGTAGGATTCCTATTTTTAAAGTGAGTTCCTTGAAGGAACACACACTACTGTCACTTTCATCTCATTGGCTGAAACTTAGTGACAGGATCGTCCTTAGCTGCAGAAGGAGACTAGCTGCAGGGGAGACTGAGGAATCAGTCATTATTCCATCAAGTGTGCCAAACTCACATTTAGGATCTACTGAGGAGGCAGGAGCAAGTGAATGGAAATCTTAGAACCACTAGTACTGTGTTTAATAATTGGTATTAATTACATTAATGATGTAGAGCAAAATTCTGAACAGTAGTCTCATTCTTAGAATTTATTTCGGTTACTACTTTGATTTTTTTTTTTACAATGAACTTGGATTCATTTAATTTGTCCTCAGATGTTATATAGTACATAAAAGGTATTGGGAATTTTGAAGAAAGTGTGTCTTTAAGGAAGTTTATACTTAATATTGGGGTTCTTAGTAGTATAGGAAAATATATTTAACTGTGTATCTCATGCACATGGAACACAGGTTATTACTTTGTACATTAAGCAATTTATTAGTCTGTTGATTTTACTAAATTCCAAGTAAAGTCTCTGTACAGCAGTAACTGCCTGGATCCTTTCTAGTAGATAGCAATAATGAATATTTTTAAGCTAGAGTTTACTTCCTAGTTCATAGATTTCTACTATACTGTACAGCAGAAATTATACTGTACTTATTATACTCTATTTTCATTTTCATTCAGTTTTGTTTCCAGGCAGGGCCTCATTATGTAGTGCAGGCTGGCCCTGAACTCACTATGTAGCCCAGGTTGGCCTCAAACTCACAGCAATCCTCCTGCCTAGCCTCCCAAGTGTTGGGAGTACAGGCAGGCACCACCCTGTCTGGTTCAGTTTTAAATATTTTTTTATTTTCCTTGTCATTTCTTCTTTGACCCACGTGTTATTTAATTTCGAAGTATTTAGGGCTTTTAAAGACATTGCAAGCCGGGTGTGGTAGTGCACACCTGTAATTGCAGCACTTGGGGGAGGCTGAGACAGGAGGATCACTGTGAGTTTGATGCCAGCCTGTGCTACAAAGCAAGTTCAAGGCCAGCCTGAACTGCATAGTGAAACACTGTCTCAAAAAGATAGAAAGAAAGAAAGACATTATATCATTTATTTTCTAATTTAATTCTGTCATCAGTAACCATCAGAAAAGTTACAGTCTTTTGAAAGTTATTGAAGAATGACCTAGCATATGCCTGTCTTGGTAAAATTTCTGTGTACACTGACAAAGACCACGTACTCTGTAGATGTTGGTATAGTGTATTATAAATATCAATTGGGTCACAGTGGTTGATTGTGTCATTCACAATCAACCACTTGGTTGATAACATTAGTGACTTTTTGTTTTTGTTCTTGTTTTTGAGACAGTCTCACTATGTGGTTCAGACTGGCTTTGAGCTCATTATGTAGCCCAGGCTGGCTTCTTAATTCATGGCAGTCCTCCTGCCTCAGTCTCCCAAGTGCTGGGTTAGTGCTGGCACTGACCTTTTAAAGTTTTTGTCCTTTTGAGATGGGATCTTACTTTGTTGTCTAGGATGGCCTTGAACTAGTGATCTTCTTGTCTCAGCTTCCCAAATAGCTGGAATTACAGGTGTGTGCCACCATAACTGGTGTGACTTTTTTGTTGTTGTTAATTGTTCTGTCAGTTATTAGGAAAGGAGTCTTAGTATCACAGGTTATGATTGTAGATTTGTATATTTCATATGCTGCTTGCTTCCAGTATATATCTTTTTATGTCTGTTGTAGTCTTTAATGTATAATGGTTATAGACAGCCTACCTGGGCAAGCTTGCACATGCTTTCTATAATCCCATGCTAAGGTAGGCTGCGGCAAAAGGATCTCAAGTTTGAGTCTTGCCTGAGCAACTTACAGTGAGACCTTGTCTCAAAAAAAAAAACAAACAAAAAAAAGCCTGGGGGAGAGGCCTCGTGGTGTACACCTGGGAGGCTGAACCAGGAGGACTGCAAAGTGGAGCCCTGTCTGGGCAACTTAGCAAGTTAATGGGCACCTCTTTCAAAAACAAAAAATAAGCCAGGGATGGTGGCACATGCCTGTAATCCTAGCACTCAGGAGGCTGAGGCAGGAGGATCACTGTGAGTTCCAGGCCAGCCAGTCTGGACAGTGAGACCTTGTCTTACTCCTCTGCCCATAGTAGCACAGCAACAACAAAAAGCAAACAGAATGGCTGAGTATATAGCTTAATGTAAACTTTAAAGCCTTGGTTCGTCTCCACTACCGTGCTCACCCGCAAGCCCATTTCAGCCTAATAGTGTCCTTTAGTTGGAAGCCATGGTCTGCATTTCTTGGAATTATTGACCTGGCTGGCTTGTGCTTACTGTTTTGCTGTTTAATTTTTATTTGCTCCATTTTTTTTTTTTTTTTTTGTTCCTCTGCAGCTCTTTCATTATCTCCTTTGGGTCAAACATTTTTAGTATTCCATTTTAATTCCTTATCTGGCTTTTTAGCTATAGCTTTTTAAAAAAGGGTAAATGCTTACTTAGAATGTATACTGTGCCATACATCAGGTAAATCTAAGAATCTTACCATTCAGTTTTTCCTTTTATTATTTCCATGTTTTATACCTACCTAAATTAATCCCACAATTCAGTCTTATAATATTTGCATTAAAATTTTATTATTTTGCAATAAAATAATAAAGAAGAAAAAAGAATCTTTCATATTTACTCATATATTCACCATTTCTAGACCTCTTCATTTCTCCCTGTAAGTCTTGCTGTTCCTCTTACGTCATTATACTTCTGCCAGAAAATACTGTAATACTTTTGAAGGACAGATCATCTGAGCAAATTCTCTCAGTTTCACTTACCTGATAATATGTGATTTTGCCTCTTCCTTCTTCCTTCTTCCTCCTCTTCCTCTTCCATTTCTTGTTTTCTTCCACTTTGTTTTAGCCTTTTGAGAAATCGCTGAAGTGTCTTTTCACAGTGATTAAAGTTTTCCTATCAGCCATATACAAAGGTTCTGATTTCTCTATATCTTTCCTTGTTTTTTTTTCTTCATTGTAGATATCTAGTTGTAGTATGGTATCATATTACTTGTTTTTTGTTGTTTGTGTTGAGTTTTTTAAATATAGGTCAGGAATGGTGGCTCATGCCTGTAATCACAGCATTCCAGAAGCTGAGGCAGGAGGACTGCCACAAGTTTAAGGCCAGCCTGGGCTATATAGTGAGTTCCAGGCCAGCCTGAACTATAGTGAGACCTTGTCTCAAAAAAAAAAAAACCCAACAAAAAAACCCAACAAAAAATATGTATATTATAGTTATTAACCCCTTATAAGATATGTGATTTGTAGAAACTCTTTCCCATTCTTTGGGATGTCTTTCTGCTTTTACAGAAGTTCTGAATATTGTTTTGCCCCTTTGGTACTGGATATTTAATTCAGGGCCTAGCACATGCTAGGCAAGTGCTCTACCATTGAATCATATCCCTGGCTCTTTTTAATTTATTTTAGGATCTTGCTAAATTACCCAAGCTGGCCTCAAACTTGGTACCCTCCTGCATCAACCTTCAAAGTAGCTAGCATTACAGATATGCGCTACTGTACCTAGCTCAAACTTACTTTCTTCCTTTTCTTTTCTCTTTTTTCCCTTCTATCTGTTGCTGATGTGTGTGCTTTTATGTTGCCAAATCCCATGTCATAAAAGTTTTCTTTAATATTTTCTTCTAAGAGCTTATAATTTTAACCCCCAAAATGTAGATATTTGATCCATTTTGAATTAATTTTTGTGGCACTGGGAGTGGAGCCAAAGGCCTTTGCACTGAGCAACATCCCAAGCCCTGTTTATTTATTTATTTTAATTTGAGGCATGGTCTTGCTAAGGTGCTAAATTGCCCAGGCTGGGCTCGAATTTGTGTTTTTCCTGCTTTAGCTTCCCAGGGTGCTGGGATTATAGGCATGTACCATCACACCTGGTTTAAGTTAATTTTCATTATGTGGCCTAAAAGTCCAGTTTCATTCTTTTGCATATAAATATTCATTTTCCCTGTTATTTTGAGTGCTCTTTCCCCAGTAGTCCTGGGGCATTTGTTGAAAAATCAGCTGATCATAGATTTATGAGAGTTTATTTCTGGGTTTTCCATTCTGTTGCTTTAGTCTGTATATCTGTCCTTGTTTCAGTAACCATACTGATTTGATTTAGTCTCATAATAAGCTTTGAAATTGGGAACTGGGAGTTCTCTAACATTATTCTTTTTCAAGATTGTTTTGGCTATTGTAGATACCTTTGCATATGATATTAATTTGAGGATAAGTTTTTCCATTTTGGGCAAAAAATGCCACTGGGATTTTGCTAGACATTGAGTTGAATCTAATCGAATCTGTATAATACTTTGAGTAGTATGATCTTTTTTATTGCTATGTGTTTGCAAGACATAATAATTAAATTCATTTGGGGGAATTGGTACTATATAGATCATATCTTGATCATTTTTGATCTCCTACCCCCATCCTGTATTCTTCTTCACAATCTCCACAAATCTACCTGTTTCCTACCATCTCTCCTTTCACTGTTTAATTCATTTATAGTTTAGGTTTCTCATATAAGAGAAGCATGTTATATTTATCCTTCTGTATCTGACTTATTTCATTTAACCTTGTGGTCTCCAACTCCATCCATTTTCCTACAAATGACTGGAGTTTGCCCTCTCTAACTGAATAATATTCCTTGTGTACATACACCACGTTTTCTTTATCCATTCATCTGTTGATGGGCATCTATAGTTTAGCTATTGTGAATTGTGCTGGTATAAATATGAGTATGCATGTATCACTCTAATCTGATGTCTTTAACATTTTAAGGAAAATACCCAGGAGAGGTATAGGTAGGTCAAGTGGAATTTCTCTTTTTAGTTTTTAAGGGATCTCTATTTTAGTTTAGTATTTTAATAGAGTGATACAGTCATGAATGCAAGGTATCTTTTTATTTTTATGTCTTCTTGAATTTTTTCCACTCACATTTGTAGTTTTCTTTTTACACATCTTTCGCCTCTGTGACCATAAATTGTGGTATGTCAACTTCCCTGGGTCAGGAAAAGGCTCCCTGATTAGTAAAGTACACCTCTGGGTGTATCTGGGTAGGTTGTGGAGGTGTGAGCTTGGGTACTCGTGTGTTCCTTGACCCCTTCCTCTCTGATGCTGTTTTCTGGCCCTGCTGAACTGGGTGGCTTTGCTCTGCACACTCTTCTGCCGTGATGTTCCTGGCTTGAAATGTGCCAGCCATGGACTGAATCCCCCTGAACCGTGAGCCAAATTAAGCCCCTCCTCCCTCCTCCTTCAAGATGTGGGTGTTGGGTATTGTGTCCCAGCAACGGGAAAACTAATCAATCTCCCTGGTTAAATTTTTTCTTTTTGAAATAGGGTCTTGCTATGTAGTTCAGGCTGGCCTTGCACTCACTTAGGTAACCTGGGCTGGCCTTGAACTCACAGCGATCTTCTTGCCTCAGCCTCCTGAGTATGAGTATTAGGGTTACAAATGTACACCACCACATCTGGCTCTTTGGTTAAAGTTATTATTAAGGATTTTACCTTTTTGACATTGTTATAAATGGAGTTGTTCTTTAGTTTCCTTTTCGGATCATTCGTTTCTCTTCTATAGAACACAACTGATTTTGTTTATCAATTTTGTATTTTGTCATTTTGCTTATTAGCTCTTAATAGTTTTTATGGATTTTTAAGGGTTTTCTGCATAAAAGATTGTGTCTTTTGATGAAGTTTTACTGCTTACTTTCCAATTTGAAAGTCTTACTTCTTTTTATTGCCTAATTAGTCTGACTGAAAGTTCCAATATTATATTGAATAAAAGTGGCAAGAGTAGATAGACATTCTTGTCTTACTCTTCTTTCTTTCTTTGGCAGGATCTCACTATGTAACTATGTAGTTCAGGTTGGTGGAACTCACTGTGGAGCCCAGGCTAGCCTTTCGGTTTTTTTTTGGTCTTTTTGAGATGAGGTTTCACTGTGCAGTTCAGGCTGGCCTTGGACTCACTTTGTAGCCCAGCGTGACCTTGAACTCTCCGTGATCCTCCTGCCGCAGCCTCCTAAGTACTGGGGTTATAGGGATGTGCCACTATGTCCAACGTTGCTGTATATTTTAATCACCCCTTCTATATGTTTATAATTGTTATATCTTCTTGAAAATTGGAATTATCAGTAGTAATGCCTTTCTTTGTCTTTTGGACTAAAAGTCTATTTTGCCTCATAATAATGTAGCTACCAAAGTTCTCTTTAGATTCTCATTTACACAGAACCTTTTTCTATACTTTTAACCTTACTCCTTTTTATGTGTTTGCATCTGAATTGAGTTTCTTATACACAGGATATTGATTAATCATGGTTTTGTTTTGTTTAATCCATTTGCCAGTATCTGTCTTGTAGTTGGGGAGTTTGATGTATTTACATTAAAAATAATTATGAATTACTGACAAAGACAGACTTATTCCTTACATGTTTTCTTATTCTCCACTTCTTCCTTCTTGCCTTTTTAACTGCTTTAAGAGTTGCAGAATTTGTAGCTAGATAGTTGGACATGGGCATTCTAGTCAGTGTTAAGTATTATGTGATACAAGCTTAACTACAAGAACCATCACAGGTTTCTAGCTGCTCCCATCTGCTAATCCTCTTATGATCCAGTCCCACTGGGCAGTTATGATCCTTGAACATATCACATTTTTAAAAAATATATTACATGTAAAGCTTTCTGTGTGTAGTGCTGTATGTTCTTCTGCCACCCTGATTCTTTAAGAACTGAGCTCAGATGTCACCTCCTCAGTGAACCATCTATAAAGCAGTGAACCCTGCCCAGTTTCCTCTACCATGACATGAAACCAAACCTTATTAAAATCAGCAGTCTATTCCACAGTGTATTTTGAGTGCTGAAGGGCAGACTTTTCATGTTTCACGAATCTCTTTATAGTCAGGTGGCACTTTCTGTATAATGGATCTGCCATAATCATTAGTTGAAATTAATAAATATTGTATTGTTGAGGAATTATCCCACCAGCATCAGAATTTCTAGAATTGTAAAAATACAAGATAATACTCATTCTAGACATCTATGCATATTTATTGTCTAAGAAGTAAATTAAAATTGAACACAGTTTTGCCCTTTTTGAAGATTTTAGGGAAATCATGATTTAGATGTTTACTAATCTAATCTCCTCAGACCTCAGTGAAATGTATAGAATTAGCCTGGTATGGTGGTGTATACCAGTAATCTCACTCAGCACTATCAGAGTTTCAGCCAGGAGGTTTTTTTTTTCTTGTTGTTTTGTTTTGTTTTTCTGCGGTACCGGCCAGCCAGGAGGTTTACAAATTCAAGCTCAGCCTGGGCAATTCAATTTAGTGAAACTCTTATTTGTAAAAAAAAAATTTTAAAGGGAATATAATTCAGTGCAGAAGGCCTAGGGATAAGTTTAATCACCAGTACTGTAAAAAAGAAGAGAAACTTATAGAGAGTAAAGAAGAAAACACATAGAACTATTTAGCCTACTGGGCTTTTTAAAATAATTAAGTCTGTTTTGTGAAGTTTTTAATCTTATTTTTCTTAGTGTACCTGACTTTCGCAGCCATTCTCTTCTCTTTTCATTTTTTGCTTCTAATCAGATGAATCTGTGGATGACTAAGCATGTGCTTTAAAACTGAAAGTAAGACTAGACAGTCTCCATAGAGGTGTTATGGAAGGAAGACTTTTCACTCAGGCTCTTTTTGCCTCATGGACTCTGTACCTCCATCCACTCACTCATTTGGTACTTTTGGGGGTCAGCATTACAACAGGTGCAAAGACAGAACTTGATCCTTGTCGGCAAGGTGGTTAGGATCAGTGCTTCCTGGCTACTCAGAGACCTTTCTATAGTTCTTAGCCATAGTAAGGTAATGATTCTTTTTCATTTACTTTATAGTTTGAATGATGTATTTTGTGATCAGTAACAGAGTCATAGCCCTCTTAAGTGGGTCTTATATAGGATTATAACTAGGATTAATAGATTTGTTGTAAGACCAAGATTACAAAAAACAAAAAAGATAATGAAGTGTGTGTTTCTTTTTCTCTCTTGCAGGAAATACAGATGAATAGAACTGCAATTGAAGCTTTCAATGAAACAATTAAAATATTTGAGGAACAGTGTCACACACAAGAACAACACAGCAAAGAATATATTGAGCGATTTCGCAAAGAGGGTAATGAAAAGGAGATTGAACGGTAAGTCTACTTAATTCCTCTAAGTACATTAAGAAGACCAGACTTTTCTTCCCCAGTGATTCCTGTCTTACTGCTTTCACCCTGTCAGACTACAGAGGGCTGCTGTATAGAGCTACTCGTTACTTGTACTAACACCAAACTGAACCCCCTCCCTTCTTTGTGCCTTCTCCATTCCCCCAAACTCCTGCTCATCCTTTAGAACTAAGGTTAGATCTGACTTTTTCAAGAAGTTGGTACCTGATTCCCCAGACCATTTTAGGAGCTTTGGGTTGGTATTCCTGCAGTGTTTAGTCCTAAGCCCTAGTTCACTAAATTCCATGCCCACTCATTGAGATTAGGCATAGTGGTTTATTTTCACTGATAGAGGCCTGATACTTACATGCTGCCTACTACTATATAATGAGTATTCACTAAATATTTTTTTAATTGAAGAGCAACTTTGGCAGCTAAGAATAAACTGGAATGGAATAAGAGTATATGACCGTTTCAGGTGGCTTCAGGTTAAAATACAGCAAGGGCATGGACTAGCATTGGCAGAAAAGGAATTAATAGAAATACTAAGGGTTTGGTGCCTGAGGACTTGATGGTATGTATGGGAGAGGTCAAAGATTATTCAGAGATTCCTGATATATGTAACTGGGAAGGAGATAGTGTTAGTCACTAAAATAGGAAGTACATGAAGAGAATTCAGAGTTGGAACTAGTGAGTTTAAGGGTCATCTGAGAGGTTATTTGAATTTGGAGCTCAAGGTACAAAAAGATTTGGGAGCCATAATTGTGCAAATGGTCATTGGTACTAAACATGAGAGAATACAGAAATAAGTAGCATGAGAATGTATCAGATTTGACAATTATATCAAATTGGGGACTTTTGGGAAGATGGCGGAGTGGTAAGCAGCAGAGGAAGAGCCTCTCTGAGAGCTGCCATGCAGACACTAGAATACAGCAACACAAGGAAGACAGCGAGGAGGGAAGTGCATCCGCTGGGCCCAGGAAGGATCTGAAATGAGAGTTGAAGCTCACCAGGAGAGGGAAGAGAGAAACTTCAACAAAGGAGGAGGAGGAGGTAGCGAGTGACGCCTGCTCCCTGAGTTGAGACTCACTGCATGGGAGAAGCAGTTCAAGCCTATGGACATACAGTGACTACTGGCAACACCAGAGGCCTCCATGGAGAGACGCAGCAGTGGAAGGGAACAGTGGACGTGAAGGACTGCACTAGCTGGGGGTGAGTGCTGAGGGCTTGGTCATCCTGCAGGAGAGAACAGTTGGCTGGGAACCATCTTGGAGAGGGGCCAACTGAGCTCAGAACTCAGGACAACTGCTAGGTCCATCTAGCGGCTGCAGGCTGAGTTCCAGCCTGCGGAACGTATGCTGACTGCTGCAGGCTGAACAGATCTGGTCTCAGCCTCATGACCAGAAAGCAGCCTGAACTTCAGGGAAAATAAAGGTATAGGCTCACTGAAAGTACTCACCACCCCACCATAACGCTACTGCTGACTTTCTGGAATACATCAACACAGATCTGCCTCCACATGTTGTCTACCAGTGACAGCAGAGACAAACCTGGAAGTGGACTCTTTTTTTTTTTTCTTTTTCTCTTTCTCTCTCTTTTTTTGCTTTTGGTGGTGTTGTTTTGTTTTGTTTTTCTCCTTGTTAGATCTTGTTTTCATACAAGTGTGAATGTGGTTTCTAGCTTCTTTGTGGTTGTTGTTCTGTTCTGTTCTTCCTTCTCTCTTTCCCTCCTATCTTTTTCACCAGTTTCCCAGTTTGTGTGATCCTCCTTTAGCCTTGCTTCTAACCTCTTCCTCTTCTTCTACTTCTTTAGCTTTTTCCATAACCACTTTTAAATTACTCCCCCAAGGGTAAAATTGGCATATTAAGGACTTATTTATTGCATACAATTTTCTGATTTGTTTTAGATTTTGTTATATGACCACAAATCCTAGGTCACAGGGTTAAAGGTGGCAAATTAATGGTTACCTCAGTTTGTCATTTTTGAGACTGTGTTTAATGTTATTGTCATTGCTGATGGTACCACTTGAGCCAATGTGACATAATTGTTCTAACCAGCTGTTCTTCCTGATATTCCAAGACTGAGATTGTCCAAGGGTCATAGAAAACCTGTGGGCCAATGCCAAAGAACCAGGGGCTGGGCCAAGCAGGCAGCAACTTCGCATCCCCAACAAATTGAAGAGGTAGGATCTTGCAACAGACTCAAAACCCAAAAACCAGCTATACCTGGAAGACACCTCTGAAGTTGTTTCCTAAGGGTTCTAAATACTAGCAAGAAAGCAACTCACTATAGGCAGTTTACAAGCATGAATCCAGATGCAACACCAGACATGCATTCACCAAAGGCAAACCCAAGGGATAATGAGGTCGGACAATCTGGAAGCCACCCACCTGGCCTTCGAAGTATTAACAACAAACCAAATGAATGAGGCTCTAGAAAATAAATGATATCAGAAATAATTTCTCAGATAACTACAGAGATAGTGACCACAATGAAAACCATGTTAGTGACTCTAGAGCAGATACAGATAAAATAATAGAGGAGCACAAGAAAGTGATGGAAGCCATGAATGCCCAACGTAGGAAAGAAATAAAATCTGTAGTACAGATTCAACCAGATATCCAGGAAAATAAAAATTCCATTGAAAGTATCCACAGCACAGTGAGCCTAGTGTGAGCACAGAATCTCAGCTGTAGAAGACAGGCTTGCAGTTAGTGATCATGAAAAGAAAGATTTCTTAAAAATAGCAAGGGAACATGAGAAATCAATCCAGTGGCTGCTAGATGGTGCAAAAAATAACATAAGATTGATTGGGGTCAGTGAAAAAACAGGAGATAGCACAAATGATATAAAAAAAAAACCTGTTCACAGATGTCATGGCAAAAAAATTCCCTGGTAGGGAAAAAGAATTTGACTTATAGTTAAGTGAGGCATATGGAACTCCAAATACCGTGGTCAAAAAAATTCTATAGCAAGGCATATAATAGTTAAGATTCCAGAAATTCGACACAAAGACAGAATATTAAAAGCTGTTAGTGAAAAGAAACAAATCACCTATAAAGGAAAGCCCATCAGAATCACAGCTGACTTCTCAGCACAGACCCTCAAGTTGAGGAGAGCTTGGAGTGAAGAAGTATTTCAAGCTCTAAAGGAAAACAGCCTCCATCCCAGATTGATGTACCCCACAAAACTATCTTCCAAAATTGGTGGAGAAATAAGATACTTCCAAGACAAAGAACACCTGAGGAAATTCATGACCACCAAACCAGCACTCCATAATGTTCTGAAGGACATTCTAGAAAGAGTTAACAAGGACTACAACTCCATAAACCCCAACAGAAGAAATCCATCAGGCAAGGCAAACCATTAAGTAGAATGGAAGGGACCCAACAACAGAAAAATAACATGAAAAGCATAAGTCAGTGCATATCAGCTATAACCATCAATGTTAGTGGTCTCAATTCACCAATCAAAAGACACAGACTGGCAGAATGGATCAAGAAGCAAGATCCAATAATATGCTGCATGCGAGAAACACATTTAATTAAAAAAAGAAATTCATAGACTAAAATTCAAAGAATGGAAAGCCATACTCCATGCAACAGGAACCTGGCAAACAGCAGGGGTAGCTACTCTATTTGCAAAGTGGATTTCAAGCCAAGCCTGATTAAGAGAGACAAAGAAGGTCACTACATTCTTGTAAAGGGAATACTTAAAGAAGAAGAGCTAAGAATCAAAAGTATATATGCAACAAATACTAGTGCACCCAACTACATAAAAATGATATTGGAAGCCTTTATGAAAATAAAACATCTATCATTATAAAACATTTATCAAAATAAATGTAGAATATTGAAAGACCAAGTTAGATAATAGTGAGTTGAGGAGTGAAAAGGCAAGGAAAAATGGGTAATAAATACAAATAAATCATATATAATGACAAAGGAAAATCATTTCTAATATCAGTATAACAGTTATTCTAAACTTCTGTGTGTATGGATATAGAGCAACATTCTGGGAGTTTGTATTGTCTTAGTATCTAGAACTGTGGCCTTGAATTTGATACAGACATTCCTCTTTTAATGACCAGCCTACATTCCTGTGAGTAGGTCATTAAAGGAGGAACTGTATATAGTATTTACAATATTCAGAACAAAGAAATAGTCAAAGGAAACTCCAACTTGATGACTTTGCATTTATTTGTATAACTCTTGAATGTGATACTTTAATATATAACCAAAAAAATTACAGTACTATACTGTACAGTATAATCAACAGAAATTACAGTACTATATACACAAGGCACTCTGTACAAAAAAGACATTGAAGCTCTATAGAAAAAGATGTACAGAACTGTACATACGCAAAAAAAGAGATAGAACATAAGTCTGAACAATGCACCTCGGTCATAAGTTTGAGCAGTTATTAATGGGGTAGGTTGTTTAACAAGGAATATCTTTATTGGCTATTTACTACCTTTGTAACTTTTGGTGAGTTACTGACCTCTCCAAGTCTGTTTCCTCCTCCCTAAATGGTGGATAGTATCTTACTGGAATGCATGAGAAGGAAGGTACATATTATTGAGTGACAAATGAGTAACATGGATAATTATTACCATAAAGATTAAGCATAGCAAAACGTCATGTGCATGAAAAGCTTGTAACCATCACTTACTGAATACTTACCAAGATGTGCCAGACAATATTCTAGTCCTTTTACACGTATTATAATTTGGTAAAGGAATGCAC